ATTTGAAATAAGAGTTCAAATGCTGCTCTGTTTGAAAGATATTTTTAGAACGTTTTATCTTAACTGAAATTAAGAAAAGCTTTAAGAAATTTAGTGATTCACTTATTTGAAATTATTGTTACAAATTATGAAAGTATTCTTTCTTATATTAAAAAAAAAAAAATGTTCCGCAAATTTTAAGAAACCCCAGTAAGTACAAGTTAAAGTTTAAGTTACAGTGGCGGCCTCATAGGAGGGTCGTCACACTTAATGTGGATGTGTTAGTTGTAAATGATATTTTTTATTCGCTCTCATAGTTTATTAAAAAACAATGTTATTTCCCTCTCATAGAAGATCTTCTTCAACCGAGCCAATGATTTTATCAAGTCATCATTCCACATACAAGAAAATCTTACCTTTTTGAGAAGTATGCTTTAATTTCATCCCTTCAGCCAAATTTTCTGGCCAGAAAACGAAACGAAAAGACAAAGTTTGTTCACACTTCTGAGGGTTATCACCCAATTCATTCAACAAAATTATGCAGACATATTCAAATGATCGGAGCAATTCCGTAATATGCAACAAAAGAAAGAGAGTATTTTCTGTCTTTTACAGGCTAAACGTGTTTACCATCTTTTACAGGTCATGGCCTCGGGTTGGAAGAAATAATGACTGCGGGTAATTAATAAGTAGCCTACCACAGTAGATTCAAGAGAGTATTTTCTGTCTCTCTCATAATTAGAGAGACATATGAGCTAATTGTAATTCACTTTGATTTCTCTATACATACGCAGGTACAATCTTAGGTTCTTTTCTTCTTATACCAGCAGTCATGGTGATTTCTTTTGCTGTGGAGAAAAAAGAAAGAAAAAATCGATTGAGAATTCAAAAGTTTTTAGATGATTATAAAGCTTTGAAGCCGTCGAGATATTCCTATGCCGACATTAAGAAGATCACTAATCAGTTTAAGGAGAAGCTAGGGCAAGGAACCTACGGAACAGTGTTTAAAGGCAAGATTTCCAATGAAATCTTCGTCGCCGTGAAGGTCCTAAACAATTCCAAGGGAAATGGAGATGAGTTCATCAATGAAGTACGAGCATTGGGTCAAATTCACCACGTGAATGTGGTTCGCCTTGTCGGCTACTGCGCCGAAGGATTTAGAAGAGCCCTTATGTATGAGTTCTTACCAAATAATTCACTTGAGAAGTATATATTGTCAATGGCCGGGGGCGTAAATCATTCACTTAGTTGGGAAACATTGCAGGATATTGCTTTAGGCATAGCTAAGGGAATCGAGTATCTCCACCAAGGCTGTGAGCAGCGGATTTTGCATTTCGACATCAAGCCCACTAACATTCTGCTAGACCACAACTTTAAGCCAAAAATTTCTGATTTTGGTCTTGCTAAGTTGTGTTCTAAGGATCAAAGTATAGTGTCAATGACCAAATCTAGGGGGACTATTGGTTATATTGCACCCGAGGTCTTCTCCAAGAACTTTGGAAACGTTTCTTATAAAGCCGATGTCTACAGTTTCGGAATGTTGTTGCTTGAAACGGTAGGAGGAAGGGAGATCACAAACATGACAGATGAAAACACTAGTGAAGTTTACTACCCAGAATGGATTTACAATCTTTTAGAAGAAGGAAAAGATCTCCGAATAGAAATTGAGGAAGAGGGAGACAATAAAATCGCAAAGAAACTTGCTGTTGTAGGACTTTGGTGCGTCCAATGGTATCCCGCCGGCCGCCCTACTATGAAAGTTGTAGTTCAAATGTTGGAAGCAGGATGGGAAGAATTAACCTTGCCGCCTAATCCATTTGCTTCTATAGGTCCATCAAATGAAAATACGTACCAACCGAATAGAATATTTTTGTAGTAAACTTTTGTAAACGTATATATTCAACCCTCAGTAAAGGGAATTTTATTCAAAATAGTCAACTTGAACTTCTATATCAGCATTTACATGCATCACAAAAACTGTATGAGCGGTAGCTCAGTAAATAAACGGTAAATTAATTTCCACTTTCAAAATACATTTCTTTAGCTTTAGGGTCATCTTATATAATATTCGCTTATATTATTAGAACTTCTTACATGTGTCCCATGTCTTGAAAACTCTTATTTGTCAAGAATTTAGTCATTATCACGATCTCAGTTGATTTATAATAAACATAACAGTTCACATTATACCCAGAAACACTTTTAAAATATAGTCAAAATTAACATATATAAACTGAAAAAATTTATTTAAGAAAAAAAATACAAATGTTCAAGTGATATAGTGGTAGATCTACATACCTGAAATTACTTAACAAAATAAATAGTTTCTCTCTAGTTTCCTTTCCTTTCCTCTCTTTCCTTTTCTTTTCCTTCTTTTCTCTCTTTTTTTCTTTTTCTCTGTTGTCTCAAACGTTCCTTTTTCTATTTCATTTCTCTCGATTTTCCTGTTGTGAAATGCTTACAATCCATCTCACGCATATATATCCAGAAGTAAGCTCTGAAGCGGCAAGACCTTAAGCTTGAACATTTAACATGTCCAATTGCAGCCACATATAGGCTACGTGGATGCTATATGACACCTCTTTGCCTATTAATAATCATTTTTAACATTCCTATGCCACCACCTACTAATTAATATTACCATAACATTTAATAATATCTCCTCATATAGAGAACCATTTATACTCGCTTATATAATATAAAAATGCTTACTTCGTAATATTCTTACACCATCTAAATAACTATCCTGACTATTGATAAAAAAAAATAAAAAATTAAAAAGAAATAGTTCCAACACTTAGCAATATTAAAATTAATTCACAAAATGTCCAAAATTTTTGTTAAATCGTTAAGTTTCTAAAAAGTTCCAACTAATCGTATAATGGCCAAAACATATGAACTTATTACTTTCCTATCACAACGGTTGACCTCTACTGTATGAATGTAAAATAAAGCTTAGAAAAGTAAAGAACAACAAGAATTTTAGAGTTTTTCATCTTCAATGAAAAATTTACATTCACTATAGAGTTTTTGGGAGAATTTCACTATAATTGACAGGAGTGTACACAGAATATGCTTGAGAGCATAATTGTTAGAGCTGTTTGTGAACTAATCCCCTATTTATAGCCCTTCGATGATATAAATACAAATATCTAAATAAATAAATAGATAGATATATAGATGTTGTGATGTAAGCATAGAAGGATGTTGTGATGGAGACAGAGGAGTGAAGGATGTAATACCAAAGAAATCTGTGAGAAATAATGATGGTATAAAAGGTTGAATGGTTGTTTTCTTCCATCTTCTTTAAATGAAAGAAAAGTACGTAAGCCTTGTATAAAGCATGGTACGTCACTGCCATTGGAGCGAACCAAATGACATTTATTTCAATAGTCGAAAGAATTTTCTAGAATACCGGCAATAATCTACTAGATTACTTTCTAGTGAAAAATTAGTGAAGAAAGTACATAGTTTATTATGATTTTGTATAAGTTTATTGCCATTATAAATAATCGGGTGCCATTGTGGTCTTTTGTTTTCTCTTTATTAGTAATTGAATGACAATTGTTTATTTGTTTTGGAAGTTATAAATAATATTTTTTGCCATCTGAGTGGTATTTTTTATTTTTAACCTTTGTTGAAATAATTGAAATAACCCAGTAAATTAACAGTGAAGTTGTCCTATGATCTCTAGGACAATTTCGGTAAAGGATATCTTGTTGACCTGTAACTTATTTTTGTACTGGCAAAAATCCAAAACTCCAATAAGAGTAGAAGAAATCCAAACCTCAATGCTAACATCATGGCATTCCTCAATTTTATTTTTATTTATTTTTATTTTATTTTTTTGTAGAATACAAAATTATGGAGAATTGATCAACTATATCGGGTTTACTTTTTAACAATATAACATCCTTAATTCTTTAGTAAATTCCACGAAGTCGCTTGCTATATATATTTGATGACGGTTGATTTTCTATTATGTGTATTCAAATCTATATATGAAGAAAACGTGTGGATCTTTTTTCAAGTACTCTTCGAATTCAAGATTCTTTTCACCAAAGCTCATCTTGTGAAAGAAAAGGGACGGAAATTAAGCCCTTTTTTCTCAAAGGGAAAGAAAAAGAAAAATATACATGTATATATATATATATATAATTCTCACCGAGTCTTCATTTGTATCATAATATCCCATGGTCTTCCACTTCCACAAAGTCTTCCACCAGTTGTTTCACACAATAAGATTATCTGTACTTTAATGATGAAATAAAGTCTTCCACTAATGTTCTGTAAAGAAGAAAAATAAGTCTCCAAATGATGTCGAGCGTAAAAACAAAATTTCACAAGTCTTGCATAATTAAAGAGAGTTACCACTAATTGTCCAATTCACAAACAATCTTCGAACAATATTTTGAAGATTCGCAGCACAAGAAAATTCGATAAACAAATTAAGAACAAAAGCATAAAAGAATTCAAAATAAGAATTAATAAACAAACCACAAGAAAATGGAGGCACTATACGTGTTTATTATAAGTGTATGTCTTAACAGACGAATTATCTGATTCTCTACTCTAAATTAGCAAATTCTCAAAAGAACATCAAGTTATGATCTGTTTCGTGAGACAAAAAATTTGCAGTAATAAATAAGAAAAAGTAAATAATTAGAAACATAGTAAAAATAAAGAGACACTAGACACAATTATTTAATGTGGCCAAAAACACAATAAGAAATAAATTAATTGGTATTAAAAACACCAGCTTAAAGGATGAGTTTTCTTTTTTATTATTCTTTAACTTACATTACAAAGGTAATTGAAATTTTAGTAGTATTACCAATTACTGTTAAAATATAAAAATATTTATTGACCTACCTCTTAATAGCTTAACCTTTTGAGATTGATTGGTAGTTAATATAGTATCAGAGTAGGAGGTCTTGAGTTCAAACTCCTATAAATACACTCTTTAACCCCATTTAAAAATGTCTATGTGTTAGGCCAAACTATAAAATAGCAAAAACAAACAAAAAAAAACCCAGCAAATAGGAAAATAATAACGGAAATAGTAGAAAATAGGCCAATATGAAAAGCTTAAGAAAGTATATAGGCCAACTTTTAGTTATAGAAATTAATAGGCCATAACTTGTCAAGTTATGGTTCATAACTAGATAAGTTATGGACAAACTTATCAAGTTATGGTTCATAGCCAGACAAGTTATGGACAAAAACCGTGAGTTATGGATAATAACTTGTCAAGTTATGGTTCATAACCAGATAAGTTATGGACAAAAACAGTAATTTAGCCTATTTATTAACTTATGTAAACTATTGACCTATTAATTTTAATTCATCTCAAGTCTTGACTTATTTCTCTCTTTTTCTCAAATAATAATAATAAGAAAAACCTCCTTGTTGGGCCTACACGTGAGGAGTGAGAACATAAAACTATTGATGGCTCTTTTTACAAGCTTCCTGCTAGCACAACTCACCTTCAGCCCAATAGTAGTGCTCCAAGCAGGCGCTTGCCCTCTATCCGACGAACTTACTCTGACCGAACGAGTTCAGCCCCACGAACCTATTCTAGATTAGTTGTATATACAAAATTGAGTTAAGAGCTAGAAAAATAACTCTTTTGAAAAGTATTATTAGTAAAATAACTTTTCAAAAATTTTTATTTGCAAAATGACCTCATTTTATAAAGAATGAGTAAATGTCTTTCTTCATAAAAAATAGAAGAATGTCATTTTGCTAATTTCACTTTGTTGGAAAGTCATTCTAGTATATTGCCCGCTATAATTTTAAGCCTCTGGTTCTCTCACACAATTAATTTTCAATATAAAAGTTATTGATTTATAGCCGTTTTCCACTATTGTTGTCGCTTACTTTTTTTTTTTCAATTTGCAATACTTTTCGTTTTGAAGTTCTGTTCTTTAATTTTGTTGTCGTTTTTCATTTTAATAAAGTCTATAGTTTTATATTGCTCTTGTCGTTTCCAAAAATAATCAAATACTGCGATTTTGAGTTTCAATTTTTTCTATTTTACTGTCGTTTTCAATTTGGCTGTTTTTTATTTATTATTTATGTCCTTTCCTTCTTCGTTTATTGTTGTTTTCTTCTTATTGTTTCTTTTTTTTTTTTTCCTAGTACTATCATCCTTTCCAATTTATTGTTGTTTTTTAAAGATAGTCGTTTTTTTTTTTTTTTTTTTTGATTTTACAGATATATTTTGTTTAATGTTTCATTTTGGTCTTGTTCGATAATCCAAATCTATTAAAAACACGTTCACTATGTTACTTGTACAGCATGTGCAGATACATAGATTGAGAAACAAACATGCATTATTGGGTTTTTTTTTTTTTAATTAGAAGAAACATGCATTATTACTGAGCTATTGTTAATTGTCAATTGATATAACGAAGATTGGAGTCACTAGACAATAGTAGCCCCTTTGTCTTGCAAACCCTTTTGATGCATTATTTTCTTTCAGAAAATATTTTGAATCTTTCTTCAAATCTATGAACAAAAGAGGCATATATAAAGTCTCATAGAATTAGAATTTCTGTCAAATTTTTTATGTCCCAATTGGATGCCCTACCAATCGAATGACACCTCATCATTCAATAATGAGTATAAAAAAGTTAGTTAAAAAACAATTTAATTTTTTTATATGACGTGACATGATATGATTAGTTAGACACCAATTGAGACACTAAATTTAGACACGAACTCTGAGTCCTAGGTCTCATGGTCCCCAAAGACAGCAGGCCATAATTAGGAATCATTTATTCCAAGTTACCAATTACTTGTGGGTTTTTTTTCCCCTCAAATCCAACTACCTGATTTATTTTACTAATTCCAGCAACCATGACTTTTCAGCTATCCATCCAAGCCAGCTCACGATAAGTATAAAAAAGTTAGTTAAAAAATAATTCAAATTTTTTACATGACGTGATATGATATGATTGATTAGACACCAATTAAAACACCAAATTTGGACAGGAGCTTTGAAAGTCCTAGGGAGAAATTATTCAGTGAACCGGGTGTTCCATGTCATTTTACTTATGTGGTACACTCATCTAATGAAACACTCTATTTATGTTAGTTTTTTATACTTAATTTTTTCTTTCCTAATAGAAATTGCAATTATTATTGAGTCAACCATAATAAATATTCTACCTAAGGAAAGATCGTTAATTAACTTTAAATAATTACTTTTATTTCTAAAATGCAACTATTCAATTTTCTTTGTGTAGTGCGTCTTTTGCTATTTCATCGTACAGAAGGAAAGATCGTTCACGAATGATCTTCAAAATGTACATGAATGTATATAGCAAGAGTTGGCAAAGGACGTGTGAAAGACTAATAGTATTAAAAAAGAAAACCAAATTAATTTTTTTCATAAAAAAGAGTTCAGCACGTAAATGAAATAATTAAATCGTTCAAAATGTATAAGCAACATCATTCAGCATTTTAAGTTTTAAAAAAAAATGAAATGGCAACTTTATCAAGGGACAAAATACAAAGAAAATTAAGTAATATTATTTTAGAAATAAAAATAATTATTTAAAGTTACATGAAGATGACATATATACTTTCCTTCTGTGCTGCAGAAAAAACTATAGAAGGCATACTTTTCCTTCTGTAAGATGGAATAGCAAGAAAGGCACTGCACAAAGAAAATTAAATTGTTGTACTACAGAAACATAAACAATTATTTAAAATTAATTGATTAAATAAAAAAAATTAAGTAAAATATTTATTACGGTTTTGACTCAATAATCAATGCAATTCTCATTTATTAGACGGGTGCACCACATGAGTAAAATGACGTGAAAAATCGGTCCACTAAATAATCAATTATTTAAAATTAATTGATTAAATAAAAAATTAAGTAAAATATTTATTACGGTTTAGACTCAATAATGAATGCAATTCTCATTTATTAGACGAGTGTACCACATAAGTAAAATGACGGGAAAAACCGGTCTACTAAATATTTTTTCGATCATAGGCCCTATGGTCCCCAAAGACACCAGAACATAATTAGGAATCATTTATTCCAAGTCACCAATTACCTGAGGCTTTTTTTTTTTTTTTTTTTCAAATCCAACTCCCTGATTTATTTTACTACTTCAAGCAATGACTTTTCAGCTATCTATCCAAGTCAGCTCACAATATAGAGTTGATTCCCCGTTTTTGAACTTGATGGTGGGGGAATTAAATTAAACTTTATATAACACAAAATAGAGTTAAAGTATGGATTTACCATTGCGCTATTCATGCAATCACCTATAACTTTAAATCATTTAAAATTTTGGCTCAGTCATGAAAGAGAGTGCATGGTTATCAATAGATATTATTGCCGCGCGGTTGCTACATATACATGTTTAAATTATTTCAAGATGAAATCTAGAATTAGATTAGAAATTGAAAGCAAAATACATCATAAGAAATAACAACTAGTGCATTAAATATTACAATAATTGATCTTAGGGGATTTTAGGTGCTTTTGGGAAACTTCTCTAATTTACCACTGCATTCTTTATCTGCATTATAGTTTTCCTCCGCATTATGTCCACCGTCAGTCGTCAGCCCTTTATAGTAATTTTAACTTTTTTTTATTTTATTTTTTGTTTTCCATTTTCTACTGTCGTATTATTGTTATCGATTTCAGGAATTTGTAATACTGTGTTTCTTGTCGTTTTTAAATAATGTTACTTTTTTCCTATAATTTTTTTTACACTCCTGTATCGGATAACTTTTGCGTATATAAGTAGAGAATAATACTAAGAGAGGAAAAATAAAACAGAAAATGGTAGTACTATAGCTAACAAATTCCTTAAGCTGCTAAAAAATATTGCCAGGATCATCCCATAGGTATTGGAATACTGTTTGTGTCATTTTAGCATTGTAACACATTAGGCCATGAACTTTAATTTGGACATATCAGTCTCAACTTTTTTTTTTTTTATATACTTTCAGTCCATGATACTAAAATTAACGATGGATTTAAAAAATTTAACAGAGGTAATCAATTTTCTATCGCGCGATAACTTGAAGCTTTACAAAATTAGTTATATGCAATATATTATCAATTACAAGATTTTGCAGTTAATGTGACTAGTTACGTAAAACTTTCAGTTATTATACAATTTAAAGATATTGTGACTATCTATATATGTTAAATTCCAGAAATCTTTCATTACTTTTATTTGTCAAGGACAAAAATTGCCAAAAAAGCAGAAGTCCAGAGAGTAATATGTTAGATTTAAAAGTTCTGGGACTCAAGTGTAACAATACTCATAGAATAAGGACTAATAATATTAATCACTTTTTTCCCCTTTATTGAACGCATGCACCAGAAAAATTCAAAAGTAGGTGTTATAAAAGTAGATTAAGAGATAAAAATCTACAAAGCATAGCAAAAGTTACAGATATTTGAACTTATTAAGGTGGAATGATCAGAACTATCTATCCCATGCTTGAAAACTCACAAGTCCTTGGTGTGCATTTGAGATGAAACTAATTTCTGGAGAGTCCTCTTCTGGGTTCGTTGATGAGCTTTCTGTATTTGACGTCTCCAAAGCTTCCCCTGCATTATTATGGTCATCTTGTGGATATAGATAGGGCCTTGGAGGCATTTGTAAAGATTCAAATTCAGCTTCCAACATGTCTATGACTTTGTTCATCGAGGGGCGATCACACGGCTTCAATTGTATACACCACAATGCCACTATGATCATCTTCTTTACAGTTTTCAATTCCTCCTCCGTGGCATCTTCTATTTCCACGTCTTTCCCTTTACTAATTTGGTCATATATCCATAACGGAAAGTAGGTTTCTTCACTTGAATCTTCAGCGTTTGCATTTGCATTTGCATTACTCCTTTTATTTGCCATTTCCGTCAACAGCTTTCCGAAGCTATAGACATCAGCTTTGTAAGAAACTCCTCCAATGTTTTTGTAAAACAACTCCGGAGCTATGTATCCTATTGTTCCTCTTGCCGCGGTCATGGACACAATACTATTATCCAAGGGACATAATTTTGCAAGCCCAAAATCAGAAACCTTGGGAATAAAATTCTCATCTAAAAGAATGTTATGAGGTTTAATGTCGAAATGTAGAATTTGCATGTCACATCCTCGATGAAGATACTCAATGCCACGAGCAATTCCAAGGGAGATCTCAAATGTTTTCTCAAAACTTATGGAGTTGCTTATTTCTCCTCCTGAAAAGATGTACTTTTCTAAAGATCCATTAGGCATGAAATCACATATAAGAGCACGCTTTGAACCCTCAACACAAAAGCCAATTAGTCGCACAACGTTGTGATGGTGAATCCTTCCAATGGTAGCAACTTCATTCATAAAATCTTGTCCGCTAGATTTGGATTTACCCAAGATCTTGATCGCTACAAACCGGCCGCTACGAAGCTTTCCCTTATATACAGAACCAAAGCCACCTTCGCCTAACTTTGTCTTGAAGCCTTGGGCCATCTTTCTGACCTCAGAGTATGTATATCGTATAGGCATGAGGTTATTAGGACTCTGGAGAAATGCTTCAATGCCACCATATTCCGATTTGTGTCGCCTTTTCCACATATAGACAATAAGCGCAATTAAAAGTGGAGCTGCAAGCAATCTTTGTACCAATAACCCTGAAAATTCATCTAAAACATTATTAATCTTTCAAACATATTTAATCTACTTGTAAATCCACACTCCCTTTCAATGTGAAGATCTAGAATAACAAATATTGTGATAACAAAAACAAAAATATTGTAATGAAAGAAGTGGTAAGAGGATATTGAATCCTCACAATACGTAATTAACTTGAGATGCGATAGCAGAAGTGGTAGAACAATGCCTGCATGATCCAACATAATATCCATCAGTAGAATAAATATCATGACATTCTTGAGGAAATTGTAATATAATAATGTATCATATATACACATAAATAAATGTACAAATTAAGATATCTGTAATACTGATCAAGATCATTGCTTATAGTTTAGAATCCTTACTGCAGAATTGTGATGAACAAAATCCGTTTGAAAGGCAGTAAACGTTGTTGGAGCGCTTTTCATCAACATAGCAACGATCACGACTGCCTTCTTGGAAAATCTGGACCCAAGAAAGCTCGAATCCATAGCTAAGCTCATTGTGGATGTCCTCATAGGAAGTGATCTTCTTCCGGGCGTCTCCCTTCCTCGACGGCACGACCGCTTTGTGATATACTTGGCAAGACTCCTCCATATCCGAAAACTTGAATCCATTACCGTATAGCACATAGGAGTAGTTATTACCTTTGTTTTTTGCAGAGAAAGCAGAGCTGTTTATGCAAGGAGATGTGTCTATATAAGAAGGATTGTTAAGCACTGGTTTTCCACAGCTCAAGAATGTTATAGTCTCCGAAATTTGGCGTCGTTCTTCATTTCGTCCGAGCCTAATTTCTGTTTCGAATTTCGGATTGGCTTTGACGTCCAAAACAAAAATGCCAAAAACAGATTTTGAGGAGGTATAGAAAGGGATAGAGGAGCAATCATCCTTCTCACATGTCAAGAATTTTAGTGCCATGGGAATGTAGTGATCAGTCCGAACATTGGAGGACACAACTTTAATTGAATAGGAGTAGATCCATGGAATATCTCTCGCGGACAAAGAAGAAGACGGGATCGAAGCGCAATTACCCTTCTCAACATTGGAGGACACAACTCTAATTGTGTAGTTGTGGTAGTTGATTGTCTGAACATGATATTCTTCGTTAACATTATATTTTTCGTTTCTTATGTTAAATATGGTACGGTTTTTCTTGCAAGAAAGATGAAAACCGTGGAATTGGCTTCCGCAGGTGGGGGGATCGGTTTCGAGGCGAAAAGGGTAGGTTATGTTATGGAGATTTCCACAAGAAGAAGAACAACTCTGATCAAGATGATGATCATGATCTAGTACAGCATATGATCTATGAACGGCTTGATGGAGTATGATTGTGATCATGAGCTGAAGAACAAGAAGTGCTATGCTAGATGGGGTATCCATTAATGAGTGGTAGAGAGAAAGATAACCTTTCCCACAACCACAAAAAATCTACACACATATGTGGAAAATGTAAGTTGCGAAGAAGAAGCAATAAATGCTAAATGCTAAAAGTCAAACTGTATGTGCTAAGGTATAGAGGATAAAGACAAGCATTCACATTATCAAAAACATCTGGCCAATAATTTTTCAGAGTAATTAATTAAATGGAAAACTTTTTTCTACACATATATAGTGGAGTTTTCAATAATTAATTTTATTACATTACGGTTGCCCATTAAATTTATAAATTTAATAATGTGACATGATAATAATCTAATTTTATTAATTGTTATATATTTTTAGTTAATTATTTAGTTTATTATAATTAATCGATTATTATTACACGGTTAAAATAATAATATCTACTGATAAATAAATATTAAAATAACCATTAAAATCACACTCAGACATACATAAGTACGTGCATACATGTACATACACACGCATTAGATAGCTTGATTGGGATATGTGGAAAATGTAAGTTGCAAAGAAGAAGCAATAAATGAAAAATGCCAAAGTGAAACTGCTAATATCAGATAAAGACTAGCATTCACATGACCAAGAATATCTAAAGATCAATTTTTCAGTAAATAATGCATAGAAATCTTTTTTTTTTCCTCTCTATATTTTTCCCATGAAAGAAGAGCAAAGATAAACATTGGCACTACGCAATCTGGAGTGTAGGGAGAGATTTGAGTGTTTTACTTACAAGTAGTACTCATGGCGGTTTCTTCTCTTCATTGCTTGTTGCTTTTGGCTGTCATGATGGTTAATACTATTGTTGCGGATGATCAGCCAGGAACAGCCTGCAGTGAAGCAAGGTGCGGAGAAAATGGGCCGCCAATCAGATTCCCTTTCCGACTCAAAGACGACCGGTTGCAGCAAAACAACGACTGCAGTTATCCCGGTTTTGATCTGTTTTGCGCTGGGAACCAAACCGCAATCAATCTACCAATTATGCCGATTACGGCGCTGTTTGTTAGCAAAATAGATTACAAATCACAGCAACTCCAAGTGTATAGCAACTCGAATTGCCTTCCGAGGCTTCTGCTTTCGGGATTCGACAATCGATCGCTGATTAATTCTCCTTTCCAACTCAGAAACAGAGGTAAGAACTCTAAGAACTACACGCAATTGAAATGCACTTCAGGAAGCGGAACATGTAGCACGCTTTTCATTCCTTCTAACTCCGAGATCGACGACTACCAAGACGGTGTCATGTTTTGTACCAAGATGATCGAGTTCGAGTCGGTTCCATATCAGATATACAAGTTGCTTTGGCGGGGATATGACGGTTCCAATATTCCATTGTCATGGTCCACCCCAGATTGTAGACACTGTGAAGCAAAAGGCAAAGGATGTAGATTGAAGAAAGGTAGCGCTGAAACTGAATGTTCCGCATCAAGAAAAGGTAAAAAAATCTGGTCCTTGTGATGTCTAATTAATCTCAATGATATGCAATCTTGACATCAAAGGGAGTTCTTCAAAGAATCATTATCCATTTACTTATTTATTTAAAAGTTCTGCAATGAATATGCATGAGCCTTGAAATTCACCTAACTTCTAATACCAAAAACGCTGCTTGTAATTGGACACAGTGGTGGAGGCATATACTTTTTTAGGAGAGAATGAAGTAACAGTAAATAATTGAAGTAAATAGTAGATTCTAACTATTTGAAGTAAATAACTGCAAATTAAAAATTTATGTGGTAAAAAATCTTTTTATCACATAATTTATGGGGTAAAAATGTTATTTACTTCAACTATTCAAAAATCTACTATTTACTTAATTTAGTTTTCAAAATCCGCTATTTACTACAATGTCTTTTTTTTTCAGTTGGGGTACTATGAGAAAAATTAGAGAGTATTTTATTTAATAGATTGAGTGGAGGCACAATTATAATTTCTCTTACAAAATGTAGGCACAACTACATATTTCAATTATATAGTTGGAGCCCGGCTATAATTTTTCTTGCAAAATTGGGACATATCTAGTACGTAGAATTTTTGAAAACTTTTGGTGGGTAAAAGTTCAAATTCCAAAATTTTAGTTGGGTACATGCGGCCACTCAATTCAATGTGGCTCCGTCACTAATTGGATAGATATTTTATAATTATTCAGGGAATAGTTGGGATGTTATTAGGTAAAAAACAAAAAAGAGTGGCTATGCAATGGGATTTTCTTTCTTTCTCTGATTTATGTTATTCTCTCACACAGTTTATTAAAAAAAATGTTCTTATGTTTTACAGCCAAGCCTAAAATTTCACCAGCGTTGAGGACTAGTATGAGTAAGCTATTCTACTCTTTCAATTGTTACACTGGATGTGCTAGATGTGCAGTTATTTGCTAATTCAGTTGTTATATGCTTGCAGTTGCAACCTCAGGCTCAATTCTCCTTTTACTAGTGGTTTCCTCAAGTTTTTACCTCTATTATTTACGCAAGAAGAATAGAGAAAATAGTCGGAGGATTGAAAAGTTTTTGGAAGATTACAATGCGCTTAAACCGTCAAGATATACGTATGCTGACATTAAGAAGATCACAGATAAATTCAAGGACATTTTGGGGCAAGGATCCTATGGAACTGTGTTCAAAGGGAAGCTCTCAAATGACATCGTCGTGGCGGTGAAAATCCTCAACGATTCCACGGGAAATGGGGAGGAGTTCATCAATGAGGTTTCGACGATGGTTCAAATTTACCATATCAATGTAGTTCGCTTGGTTGGCTATTGTGCTGATGGATTTAGAAGAGCTCTCATTTACGAGTTTTTACCGAATGATTCTCTGGAGAAGTATATATCGTCGTCGGTCTCCGCTGGTGGCAAAAATCCGTCACTTAGTTGGAAGACATTACAAGATATAGCTCTAGGCATAGCTAAGGGAATTGAGTATCTTCACCAAGGATGTGACAAAAGAATCCTCCATTTTGACATCAAACCCCACAATATTTTGCTTGATCAGAACTTTGTTCCAAAAATTTCGGATTTCGGTCTAGCAAAGTTGTGTTCTAAGGATCAAAGTGCAGTGTCGATGGCTACAGCTAGAGGAACCTTGGGTTACATTGCACCCGAAGTATTCTCTAGGAACTTCGGAAATGTGTCCTACAAGTCTGATGTTTATAGTTTCGGAATGTTGTTACTCGAAATGGTAGGAGGAAGGAGGAATATTAATGCAACTGATCAGGGGAACATGGATGGAATTTATTACCCAGAATGGATTTATAATCTTCTAGAAGGAGATGATTTTCGAATTCTTATCGAGGAAGAGGGAAATGCTAACATCGCAAAGAAACTTGCAATTGTAGGTCTCTGGTGCATCCAGTGGCACCCTGTTGGTCGTCCTACCATGAAAGTTATCATTCAGATGTTGGAGGGAGAGAGAGAATTAACCATGCCACCCAACCCTTTTACCTCTGTTGGCCAGTCCAGCACCAATGCCGAGCAGCCTACACGAGCCGCCATGGCGCTAGAGTTAGAAGTTATTCCTGAATGAGGATTTTTATTTTTTGAAATAGATAACTTTGTATTCCAAATTAGAGAAATACACACACACACCAATACTACTCTAGGCAGTATTTTTGTATTGACAAGTAATTTGAAGATTACATTTGCATTTTGTTTTGGCCTTTTGGGCATTGCATTCTGAAAGCTGCTTTTAACTAGAAAATATGTTTTTTGGTGTTTGGCGTCTTCACGAATTAGAGTTTGGTGTCTTCACAAAATTTGTAGCTCTATCTCTTATCTTTCCAACGCCACAAAGATCACTTCATTTCGACTTCGGATGAGAGAGTTATGCCCCAAATACTGAAGCATGTTCTGAAGTCAAATTTTCACTTCTTTTATTCCATTTTAAGTTCAACCTACAAAAACAAAATAAAAACACATTAAAACTAACAAAAATACTTGAAAACTTATAAACACCCAAGCTCAAAACTACTTGATTTGTGAATAAAATACTCACTCATCAAATACTAATTTGACGGAGGAGAACGCCGTTTACTACCAAGAATAGATCTATAATCTCCTGGAAGAAGGAGACGATCTTCGGATTCAGGTTGAGGAAGAGGAAGATGCCGAAATTGCAAAGAAACTTGCAATTGTCGGACTTTGGTGTATCCAATGGCATCCGGTATGCCGTCCCACCATGAAAGTTGTGGTTCAAATGCTGGAAGGAGGAGAATAACTAGCAATGCCGCCTAATCCGTTCGCTTCTACTGGTCCATCAAACACAAAAACTAAGACGCCTGCAGGGCGTAGCGCCCTAGACTTAGAAGCTGTCGTTGAATAAGCAGGACAATATAGACAAGTAATTTGTTTTAGTAGTGCAAAACGTTATATATCACTATTCCCCTCTTTGCTTGGGATTAATGAACAAAGGGGTACTAGTTTGGTTTTCTCTGTATTTAGCAATAACTTGCATTTCTGCTCCAGGGTGATTTACTCTCCCCATTAATTAAAAAAAAAAAATGTTAGACAATTAGCAACTCTTCTACAACCAAATTACCTGCTGAAGAATTCGATTCAAGCCGTTTTACATTTTTTTCCTTTTTTATTATGTTTGATTGTTTTTACTAATAATGCGCATGCTAGGAAATTTAAGTATTGTCTTTTCTGGTCCTGTTCAACATTGTTTTTCTTCTTTTTTTTTTTTTTTAAAAAAAAAGTGTTATTAAAGCAATGGCTCCACGGCCAAATTGTATTTATGCAGACTAATTTTATTCAGTACCGTTTTATATTTTCCTTTATTTATTTATTGGTCATGCTATCAATATAGCTGAAAGTTGTAAAATCCGACAATCTTCACCATTGTTCTCACAAGGACCCATTCTAACGGGCACTATCGATAGGAGGTCCTAATTTTTTTTTTTTTTTTTTTTTTGTTGTTTTTTAAGGAACGTTTCCATGTGATCTTCACTTTTAGTCTTTGCCTCAAGATGGCCAGAAAGTTTATTTTGTAGACTTGTTTTTTAAATTTAAAATAAAAATTAACAAGTCTTTTTGTAGATTTGTAGGTCTCGTTTATTTCACCGATTCGAGTTTTCAGTTTTAGATTTCTACAGTAAAAAACTCTCAAAAAATGTCACATCTAATTTTTTTTACTACAGTAAAAAACTCTCAGAAAATGTCACATCTCAACTCAAATTGAAAACTCGAATCCATAATGAAGAATTGGAATTCATTGATGTGACGTGGCGCACTCATGGATATTATGTTCAAATCTTTATAAAACTATAACATTCACTTTCCAAGTCTTTGTTCATCTCTTTTATCTTTCACGGAAGCATCGATCTCTTAATTTCTCTTTCCATACTTTTTGCTTTTGTTGTCGGATTCACTTTTCCACGTCTTCACTATGAGTAGTCCTGAATTCATCGATGAAAAATTAATATCTATGAATCTTACGAGATTAGATCATGTGTCTAAAGTTTTAACTCTTCGCTATAAGTCCACAAAGTATCTTTCGAGAGACATCTTCACGCAACTCTAGGCTGTGGGTACCGCAAAAATTGATATTGGGAAGGAACTTCGAGCTGATATGAAAGAAAAAGGAGTCAGATTACGGCCCTGTTCATTTCGCCAATTCGAGTTTAGAATTCGAGTTTTATTACAGTAAAAAGCTCTCAGAAACAATCACATCTAACTTTTTTACTACAGTAAAAAGCTCTCACACAAAATCACATCTCAACTCGAATTACAAACTCGAATCAGCGAAGTGAACGGAAGTACGTGTTCAATTTTTGACCACATTATGTCGCCTCATCCAATGGACTCAGACATTAAAATATAGAAAAGTGAGTTAAAAAAAAAGACATTTCAGTCTTTTTTAAATTATGCAGCATTGTAACGCCTTTCTTAAACTAACAGCTAAAAATCTCATTAACTCGAGACAAACGTTAATTGAAATAAAAATAATACTGTTTAATAGAGACACAATTTCTATATCAAGTACAACCCTCAAACAGAATAATATTCATTCTTAGAATCTCTAAACTCATCATGAGATCTTAGACCATTCTAACTCAGTCAACTGGAACCTCAATTATCAAGCTTACCTACTTCATAAGAACTATATGAACCATATATAATTGTCATATTCAAAATACTTTTTTAACATTTTAGGACCCTTTTGTATAACATTAGTCTTGTGTCATTAGAACCCCTTACAAGTAGCGCATGTTTTGAAAACTCTTATTCGACAAGGATTCAGCCATCTTATTTAACTATGAGTTCATAACAAGTACAAGAATTCATATCATATTCGGAAAACACTTTCAAAATCTCATCAAATCAAGTCAATAATAACATATATAAACTAAAAGATTTCTTTTAAAACATATTACTGTTCAAGTGATACAGTGGATGATCTACTTACAGATAAATGGTTGAGAGTAAAAATCTTCACTTATAACTAGTAAAGAGTATAAATCTTCACTATAACTGGTAGAGAGTAGAAATCTTCACGTACTCTCTCTTAAGCTCAGAAGAAACGTTAACTAAACTAGAATAAATAGTATAAGAATGGTAAATAATAATCCTCGAATAAAATTTCTTAAGATCAAAAATTTCACAAATCTTTTTATATCTCCAAATATATCATAAAATGAACCAACTAAGTTAGTGGGTCAAAAATTATGGATATTACCAGCATAATACGGTGGTTATAACATTTTAAACATTGAAATTAGATAGGTGATAAGAGAACAATTGAAGTCTAGTTAAATATTTGTCCAAGAATAAGTTAATTTAAATATGGCTGAATCTCAATCAAGATTTGGGCAACTCTTCATTGTGATCAGGGACAAATTATACTTGCTTTTGCCATATTCACTCAGGTGATGTTTGGTTCATGGGTTCAGAATCATGATTCATGATTCTGATTTTTCAAATTTAAATTTTTTGTGAGAGAAAAATATTGTAGCGAACTAAAAACTATGATCCTAAACCAGAACAAAACTCTTGAAACAAACGGAACATTAATTTTCAACTTACCAGTTTTCCCCAAATTGGGGGCAATGGCGGAGCCGCCTACCCCATCCTTAATTTTTCATTTATAAAATTTACATGAAAAAATTTAAGTAAATTTCAATTAAACTCTAAAGTTTAGCATAATTATTGAGTATCTCATATTTCAAACATAGATTACTAAATAAATCAATAATCAATGGCACAATTATATGAGTTTAAAATTTGTGAACTGTAGACCTTGAAATGTGAATTAAACTCAATCAATTAGAAGATTGATTCATTTGTATTAAAACTATATAAATATATTAAAGAAATAATAATGATAATAATTACACTATTATTTTAGTATAAAACTTTGGTTTCCATCACGCTCCCACTGAAAAAAATGAAAACAAATTCTGACTCCGCCACTGCTTGGCGGGACTTAATCAGATTATACAGATGAAGCTTCAAAAATAGCTGGTTTGGAAAGTGCCATTTTCTTTAAATTCTTCGTTGAATAAGTATTTTAGCAGCTAGCTTCTAGCTATCTTCTAGGAAACTGCAATAAACTCTTTCAGTCCTGCTTATCTGCTATAGCTAGCTTCTCTCATGTCACATTGAGCGAAACTTCAGTCTTCGCTTTCCATCGTAAGAGAAAAGTTTGATTTTTCTCTCTTCCTAAAGTAAACTTTAATTTCATAAAGTTCCTTGTAAGGCAAACAAATAATTCTAGATTATACAAAATTAGTACAACTAACCACAGAAAATACACTTAGCACTCCTATTCATTCTCATGGGTTAAAACCCTTGCTACTCACGTAAGGTGAGTCTCGCTAAGTGGATAGGTGGGACCTATTATTTTATAAGTGGTGAGGTTTTATCCCTATTAACAACGGGGATGAAAACCATTTTTGAAATACACTGAGGTCATGCTGGTGAGATCTAGAACACAATAAGATCACAACATCAAATCGAAAAACATCATATCAAAGAGTCCTAACTTTTCCTAGTATAAGGTTGCTTGCATAGGCAAAATTGTAAATAGGTCACGTTAAGAGGTGGCATACTTGTTGATATTACCTTTCAAAGATTCATTGTATTTACTTTCGAAGTCTTCGCTCATCTAGTTTTGGGACCGAAGCTAGCTAGCTTCATGGAAGCTGCGACAAATTTATACCCTGTTGATCCTTTTTGATATGTTATGTTGTCGTATTCACTCAAGTCATGTTCAAAGTCTTCATTACAACTCTTCTTGTATATGCACCGAAAATTTCCATGGCCGGCCCCAAGAGATTGGACCGCATCTGAAGGAGTTTCAAGTTTTCTAGACTGGCCTCGTTCAATTCGCGGATTCGAGTTTTCAATTCGAGTTGAGATGTGACATTTTCTGAGAGTTTTTTACTGTAGCAGAAAATTTTGATGTGACATTTTCTGAGAGCTTTTTACTGTAAAAACCTAAAACTGAAAACTCAAATCGTTTCACAATTTAAATCACAACTCAAGCAACAGTAATTATGGGTTATCCGAGCTTCTTCTGGCTAGAATGTCATCCACGCAAAGTCATTTATAGCGCGACATAAAAGGTTCCCCAGAAAACAAAATTCTTCCATCAATATATATATATATATATATATATATATATATATATATGTCCATGGTCCCACAGAG